TGAAATTTGGTATGCTTGTTTGTCTTTGTGTCTATGGTGTATAATGATGTRATTGTGATGCTGTAATTCTGAGTGTTTTATGTGCTGCAGAACAGGAACCTGCTGTAAAACAGCAATCTTGCTTAGTCAGGCTTGATTTTTAATAATCTTTTCATGTTAAATAAATAAATCAAATCAAAAATCAAATCAACCAGACCTCAATTTAACCACAATCCATCATTACTACACCCCCACAGAACCTCACTTATCAGATACATGTATCTGACACCTGTTAGGACTTGATGAAATYTTATAAGATGTTAAATGTTCATTTTTGATTTTTATGGGGTTCAACTATAGTTTATTAATTTAACCAGGAAGTTCCACTGAGATTAATAACCTCTTATTTAGGAGAGACCTGGCCAAGATAGCAGCAAATATAACAGAAACAAATCAAAACATCAAAACACAAATCAAAACATTATCAAATCATTGTCAATCAAAACATTAATTAATAAACTGTTTACTGCTTTATATATTGTGGACTTTAATTTTTTCCCATATTGCAGTCTGTGAATCAAAAACTGGTGACTGGTGAGAACCAAAGGCTGATCCCTGAGAACCAAAGACCAATCCCTGAGAACCAAAGAYCAATCCCKGAGAACCAAAGAYCAATYCCTGAGAACCAAAGRCYRATCCCTGAGAACCAAAGACCAATCCCKGAGAACCAAAGAYCAATCCCTGAGAACCAAAGAYCAATYCCTGAGAACCAAAGACCAATCCCTGAGAACCAAAGACCAATCCCGGAGAACCAAAGACCAATCCCTGAGAACCAAAGRCYRATCCCTGAGAACCAAAGACCAATCCCTGAGAACCAAAGACCAATCCCGGAGAACCAAAGACCAATCCCTGAGAACCAAAGGCTGATCCCTGAGAACCAAAGACCAATCCCTGAGAACCAAAGACCAATCCCGGAGAACCAAAGACCAATCCCTGAGAACCAAAGACCAATCCCTGAGAACCAAAGACCAATCCCGGAGAACCAAAGACCAATCCCTGAGAACCAAAGGCTGAACTCTGCTGCTGCCATAAAATCTGTTCAGAAGGTCTTTTATCAGGTTCACAGAGAAAATAAGGTATAGTATCCATACATACTACATMCATACATCCAAAGGATAGGAGCTAACATTCAATTCCAGTTTAAGCCCGTTGAGTTTAAATATAACGTAATATAATCAGAGACAATAGGTTATACAATGGCAAAAATAAAACTGTGTAAGGAAGGTGGTTGCCAGGTACAACATTTTTATAGTTCTAGTGGAATTAAATAATTTCCTTCTATTTGGTTTAGCTTGTTTGAAGGGATTTTTTTTTCCACAAAGGAGGTATTGATTTACTCACCTAAAATTAAAAGCTTGTRTTAAATAAAATATGCATGCATGCAAAATCCAACTCCTTTCAGTCCCTTCCACAGGAGCAGTTACACAAATTTAGGTCCTCAAGACAGGCGGCCATCTGCCTTGACCAGTAGGGTTTGGGGAACAGTAAACAGAAACAGAGAAGTGTTCAGGTGTACATAGATTTTCCTCTGGATATCAGTTGATATCAGCCACTTTCTCATTCTGCCAGTGGTACATGCCATGTAGGGGTTTACCTTTCCATGATGGCTCCTCTTGTTCATTCATCAGTTTATCATCAGAGGCTTTCTTCCTGACGTACTCCAGGATCTTAGTTTTTGTTTCATCCTGTATAGTGACTATGATGCTCACTAGTCCTCTGCCTCCCTCCTTTCTATCAGTGTACAGTCTCAGGGTGCTGGACGTTTGGTGAAACCCTCCTATATTTTGAAGAGCTTTCAAGTCTTGATGTCAGTGCCTTCTATATTCTTCTTTGGCCAGGCTATCATACCAAGAGAAGGTCTGATGGCCAGCACTGCATATTTGTTAATAGATCAGAATTTGTTCTTGATGTTTGGCTGGTTATTCAGGACCTGCCTTACTACTTGGTTGTGGTTGAATTTCTTGTGGCYTCATCATGATTGTCATTTATCTGCAGGATTCCAAGTTATTTGTAGCCATCTTGGACATCTRCAWTGTTGCCTTCAGGTAGTTCATCCCCTTCACTTAGGACCACCTTGCCTCGCTTGCAATCATTTGACTGCATTTATCCAGTCTGAGCGACACTCCAGTGTTATTGCTGTATATCCTGGTGAGGTGGATCAGTGAGTCATTGTCTCACTCATTCTTGGTGTACAGCTTGAKGTYATCCATGTAGAGGAGGTGACTGGTGGTTGTCCCACTTTGGAATCAATAGCCTCTCTGTAAAGATCTGGCTCATGGTGGTCAGGTCCATGCAAAACAGGAGTGGGAAAGTGCATCACCTTGGTATATGTTGCATTTGATGCTGACTTGTACAATTTGATTGGAATTGAGTCATYTTCTGCATTCTCATTGAGTTCTTGTTGAAAGCTCTTAAAGTTCTGTTGGTGTTGGACAGTTTCAAGCTCTCCTGGATTCATGTGTGAGGCACAGTCGTGTGTGTCTGATCTTATAGCCTCAAGCTACAGTTCTGTTGATTACAACTCATGCTTTGCTCCCCTGGTGTTGGGGCCAGTTCCCTTCTGTCCCTTGTTCAGGCWTTGAGCCACGTGCCAATTCATTTTAGCTGTTTCCATGTTGTACAGAGGCAGGTGACTGACCAGTAGATGGATGAGATTTGGGGGTCTTTCATGGTCAGGACTGTCTGGTCTTGGGTCAACCACTCTTGGTAAGATCCTTCCTTTAGCAGCTGGTTCATTTGTACAGTTTCTGTAGCCAGCAGGTGAGAATCATGTCAGGCTCTGAACTTTTTCATACCTGAGACTCTGTCTTGGATCCCTGTGATGGATACTGGTTCTTGTTCTTGTTCAGGTCTTAGATTTTGTGACAGAAAAGGTAAAATAATCAATTTTTTTTTACCAAAATAAATCCATTTATTTTTCAAAAGGGAAGTATAAAAAAGTGTTTTATAAGTTTATATTTGATGCTTGATGGTAAATGGCCTGAACTTACAGGTAAATAACACTCCATCAAGTTCCTACAGACTCCAAAGCTCTTTCTMCTTCAGTCCTTCCCACACACATTCAATCACTGATGGTGGTAAGTCAAAAAGAAAAAAAAATCAGTAGGTCCTCTGGATGGTTCTTCTTTAGTGAAATGTTTCGTCTCTCCTCCAAGAGACTTCTTCAGTCTGGTGAGTTTCAGGTGAACTCAGCCTTATAAGCACTGCCTCCACATGGACAAACAGGTTAGTCACATGCAAAAGAGGACCATCACCTAACAATAGGCTTGATTAGTTCTGTTGTTCATAGAGGGTCATGTGACCCATCACCTAACTGGTTTGAGTGCTTCAGCTGTGGTTATTTGGTGTCATGTTATGTGTATGTAGTGAATGCGAGCGGGGTTCAACGTCCCCTTGTTTTTGTCTCTTTCCCTATTTGTGTTGGGTATGGTGATGATGGTAAGCTACACTGTAGCCACAGCTGCCCTGGGTCACACTGACATATGCAATGGCAGCACCGGACCCTCTGAAGTGTTTTGTCCAAAGACACAACAGCTGAGAGGGATGGAGCAGGGGTTTGAACCAGCAACCCACTGGTTACAGGTTGAACTTCCTGTTGCCCCACAACTCATTCTGATCAGCAGAGCTGCAAAATAGCAGTTAACGGCTAACATGTGCAGGACCGTCTGTTGTAGGACCATCTGTTGTAGGACCGTCTGTTGTAGGACCGTCTGTTGTAAGACCGTCTGCTGTAGGACCGTCTGTTGTAGGACCGTCTGTTGTAGGACCGTCTGTTGTAGGACCGTCTGTTGTAAGACCGTCTGCTGTAGGACCGTCTGTTGTAGGACCGTCTGTTGTAGGGCCGTCTGTTGTAGGACCGTCTGTTGTAGGGCCGTCTGTTGTAGGACCGTCTGTTGTAGGGCCGTCTGT